TTTTGAATAGTTTGACGGAGATAATATGAATATTTATCACCGTTTTTTGTTCTACTATAAATAAATGCAATAATGTTTTGTAATCTCAATTCAATATCATCATGTTTCTTTCGATAGAATAAAACAAACATAAGCTTTCCATTAAAAGTTAATATTTTCAATTCATTTGGAAGTCATTAATATGCACTATTTGAAAACAATACATGGTTCACAGCTTGCTTGCTACTTTTAAATGTTTTTTTGTACAAAAACAATTCTTTTTCTTACTGATATATGACTCGATGATGTAGTATGAGTTTTGCCAATTTTTTACATTAAAAATACAAATGACGCAAGACACACGTGAATAACAATCGTTATGCGTCAGATAGAAACAAAGAACCTTGCAACATTCTCTACATTATGAAACAAAATCATAGAATAATAACTCCTCAAAACGATTTTATTAGTCGCATAAACCCTCGAAGGGTTTATAATGTGTAATAAATTCTTGAACGATTTATGAAAGTAGCATGAATCCTAAAATGGTTTATGAAAAGTTGATGTAAACGAAGAACAAATTCGATGTGAATTGGATTTAAAACGTGTTTATATAGAGGGTGGTCCAGAAGTAACCTACCATAAAAGGTATTCTATAATAACTGATAATAAATTGTTAATGATACTTTTCATACTTTTTATTGATATAGAGAGCTGAAACTTTCAGTGAACGAAGATCTTGATTAGATATATATGTGATAAGAATTTAAGCTCCCTACATCAATAAAAAGTATGAACAGTATCATTAACAATTTATCATCAGTTATAATAGGATACCTTTTATGGTAGGTTACTTCTGGACCACCCTGTATATGCATCATATGCTATACAAACACAAGATCAAACTAATTTAAATCGTTATGCACTTGTAAAGGGTGAAGAAACCTTTTTTAATACATAAAAAAAATGTTCTATATTTTAGCTGGTTTGGAATTATTTGCTCAACATTCGACTTTATTTACTGAATATCTTTATGATGATTATCCTGAAATGCTTCAATGTCTTCGAGCATGGAATGCACATGATAATAATGATGTGAAAAAAAATTACTCAACGGGCTTATGATACTTTTTTACTTGGAGTAAAAATATATTAGAAAATTTTGTTTTTCAATGCTGTTTTTTGTTGTCTAGGTAGTGAATGCTTTGAACGAAACGAATATTAAAACATCGAAAGAGCGTCGTCGTGTTGTGTTGACTTTTCAATATTTTATTAAAGAATTTCGAGATAAAATTGATTCACCGGAATCGGAAATTCGAGATTTAGCAATGGATATTCGGCATTATGGTATTTTTGCTAAAGTAAGATTTATGAGAATGTACTTTTTAAATTAACTACTAAGAAAATATTTAAACAGTTATGTAGTAATAAGATTGTTCATAGCGATCCTGCCATTGCTTAATGGCTTCGAAGATAAAAGAGAAGTATTTAGAAAATAAACTCTCGTACAGATCAACAGACGGAGATCGGTAGATTCACAAAGTTTTGCATTTGGACTTTACTTATTCCAAACTATTAGCTTTTCATTTTAAACATATTCTGTAAAACATCACATATCTGTCTTGTCTCTATATCGCTAGGCATGTAAACTATATGGTACTGAAGAAGATGTTAAATTTATGTTTGTTGGTCTAATTCAATGGTGTGAACAAATAGCTATTCCAAGTATAACATTATCTCAAGCAACTGATGTATTTGATGAACGTTTTTATGCATTAGCTAATTTACTTGATGCACTTTCTGCTATTATTATTGAAATGACAAATGTAACATAAAACCAACTTATTCTTATTCGAATAAAAATTTGTTTTATTTTTGATTAGATTGGTGAAGAATTTCTTGGTCTACTTGAACGTTTAACTGTCATGACAATTGATTACTACCCTCGTTACCAACCTAAATCTAAAGCCACAATATGTTCATCTGTTATAAAAATGATCTTAGCTTTACAAACAAAACCTACATCTTATAAACCATTTTTAACTCGAATTTGGTAGATTTCTTCAATAAAAACAATTTTCTTATTTAAATCTTTAATTATTCAATATTTAGTTAGTCAAGCAATAATTCGTTGTTGTTCACATCCCTTAAAATTCACTGTTGAACAACATTAGAAGATGTTGAATCCGATATATCTGAAGAAAAAGCAAAATCTTTATTTTCTATGGAAAAAACCATAACTTATGGAAATTATATTTTATTATGGAAAACAGTTTTAAATGTAACTTCATTAAAAGAATTTGATACAAGTACATATCCAATATTGGATCGACAAAATATGCTTGTTTCAGTATATGATGAAATGATTGATTCGATTTTATATATTGTTGATCGACTTGATTTAAGTGTTGATAAAGAAAAAACTGAAGTAAATTAAAAGAAAAAATATTCTTTTGCTTTGATAGAATGGGAATTTAGGATGAAATGATGATGGAACAACAACAGATCCGGTTTTTGGAATGAAACCTGTTAAACCGAAAGATTTTGAAATATTTCATAATCTCGTCGATTTTTGCCAGTAAGAAAAAATAATCTTTGTTTTACAATCATAAAAATAATTATTTATCTTTAATAGAGATTTATTACCTGAACAATCACCAGATTTATTACAAAAATGGATCTTTTGATCTTTATATGAAATCATTGCTGCTTCAACAAAGTAAATCCAACTTCATCAATCTATTCCTATTAATTCAATTAATGCAGATATCCATTAGTCAGTGGAATGTATCGACTTGCCATATTAGTGATGAATATATGTTTAAAACTTGATTATTTCAAAGTATTTAATAAATCGTCAAATATTTAATCCTATTTCCTTATTTCTCTAGTCTGATCGAGTGATCCCAACCATCCGTGGTGGTATTGAAATGATGAAAACTGATATAAATGAAAAGGGTGGGGTGTGCGTGTGGTGTGTCGATGTTGGTGTTAATGTTGTCTTCAACCACACCCACATTCACATCCAATTCAATGTCTTCAGTACGAATGGCTTTGTTAAGCAACTTGTAAAGAAACTTGCAAAGAAACTTGTAAAGAAAACATTCGTTCGTATACCATTCGATGGCTTTTTCACGAGAATAGGAGTTGAGAAATCGTTCGATCTTCTTCAATTCTTTCTTATTTATTGCATAGTAATTGGAGCATGTTGCGAGCATTTCATTTTTTGCTTGATTATCTTGAGGAATTTTTTTCAAAACGTAAAGAAGAAGTTGATGCCATAGAAACGAAGCAGAACCTTTAGACAGATCTCGTGTAGATTTCTGTTTTCGGTCAAACAGGCTGAACGTAAAAAACGGCCTCTCAATGGTCTCCATCGTGTCGTGAAGCACTTGTAGCAATTCATCTTGGATAACAAAAATATCGCCAATCTTCGAATATTCAGACATGAGTTTGACGTGATAGGCACGATTTTTGCAGAAGATAAAAATAGCGATGAGATTCCGAACTCCATGAATTTTTGGGTGAGCTTCTACGGCCAAAGCTCCAGAAATGATTAAAAGAATTTATTCCTGTTGAATCGATTTTATGACATTGACACATCGTGTCTGATCTATTTAGAATTGAGTAGTAGGATTGAATTCAAGTAAGAGAGTTTGTGTATGCACAGAATCTGGAGAATCGTCGATATTGGCATCGAACCATATGAGTCAAATATTTTCCTTATTTTTCGACGCTTCCGCCGGTTGAAGATCTCGAGCAGCAGAGACACTGAAACTACTTGCCATTTTCTCTGAGACGCAAGTTTCGCTTTTTCACCTGCTTCGCTTCTGCGACTTTTTGATACTGTAAAAAGTGGATAAAAAATAGGCTGCATTAAAGTTATTTATTTACTTGTGTGTTTTGTATTTTTTACCTGAGAGCACATCGTGCCACGCGCAAATGTAAAAAAATATTGGTTGCTGCTAGTATGATCCCGTACATCACAAAGAGGTATGTTGTTACTATGCAATTTTTTATGCAAAACAATTATAAATATTCTCCAGCGATTCATACCGTCTACTACATGAGTATTTGTTGGTATCTCCAATCAAACAGAGCACTAAACCGCTGCACATTCACATAAGTATCTCTAGAGGGTGGCGGAGTGGGTTTATGGATATGACCGAAGAGAGCTGTCACGGTTGCATCGACATCAATAACTTCACTCGCATCCCTATGAAAGCAGACATGTCACATTTGTATCTACATCTCACACCCTCAAATATGTAGTGGTTGTTCTATTACCAATTCTATTACTATTACTGAATACTTTCAGTTACTGTGAAACTTTAAATAGTAGTATGTAGTTTAATATATTAATTATTGAGAGTGTGGATGTAAGATATGTGCGTTCATGTGCGTGCGAGTGTGACTGTGCATGTCGATGCAGCCGTGACAGCTCTCTTGAGCCACATCCATACCTAAATACTTACATATCCTACCCACACTCTGAAACATAAAGCACCGAGCAACAGGGAACCGAATGAAATCTCACGAAACGCACACTACGGTCTTGTCATTGACATAACAGGTAGCTTCACAGAATTATAGATTTCCTATGTATCATTCTCGTTTTTATAGTTGCAAGATCATCTTGAAAACGTGGATATTTGTTTGGACCATATCTTTGCCCTAACCCACATGCATATACTGGCCATCATCCGCATTTTTTCCTGGATGCGCCGCCCATTTCAAACTCAAGATATTCAACCATAATTGTTAAAGGATAGAAAGCAGTATATGTGACTATACAATACTGATTTTTACTTCCTTTGACTTTCGATGATTTTATATCATTCAGAAAAATAAATGATATGCTTCGTTTGGGAATCGAACCCATGATATAATTACTGGTTATCCAGACCAATGCTCTAACCATTGAGCTATCGAAGCACGACCAACATATCATCTATTTTTTGAATGATATAAAATCATCGAAAGTCAAAGAAAATAAAAATCAGTATTGTATAGATATTCAATCAGTAACGATATTTGATTTTGAAGAGGATAATAGATTTGCGGTTGGTTTTTATTATATATTTTTCAATTGAAAGCACGCCATTAAGGAAATCTGTTGTATTGGACTTCAATCACGAACAGACCTAGTCACGAACTTTGATCGTGAAATTTTTGTTAAAAGTACCGGTTCGTGTGTTTTTCGGGCATCCACTTTCACACCATGCTTTTGTGCCAGCTTTAAAGGTATCACCATTATGTCTACCAATATCTCTAGTGATGCATGCCATGTCGTTTTTGGCACGCAAATTATAGAATGTCTTTTCTCCATGACAATAATAATTCATAACAGAATATTCCTGGTTTTTAGCCTGGGCTTGTGCCTCTGATGCTGTCCATATTGCTTGACCTACAATTTCATAAATAATTACAATGATTCATAACTAATATGATTATCTCTTGTCGAACTCAGAAACTGACGTTTTCCATGACTGAAGAGTACATTCCCTATGACTGAAGAATACATTTCCTGTCAATATACGTATTGATCAGTAGTTTCAAGTATTAAAATGAATTATTCTTCATAATGACAGCATTATTATGGCTACGCATAGATTTGCACACATTCGAACACTATGTGAGAATGTCAACATTTACTAACGATGTTTTAAGTACAATCAATCTCAATGAACAGTATGAGTGTTTCTATCAAATTCGATGAACTAAGTTCATAGTTCTACTTCATAAAGAAAACCTTCGATTACTGCCAAATTTATAAATTCTTTACGCTTAATGTAATCTCAGGAGGCAAAATCATCTGTGCTCAGTTATTGCTCATTTTGATTGCTTCTTTAAATTTTTCATAAGGCATACTAAAATTAGTTAACTGAACAAATTGTTCTCAGCAAGTATTGACAATCTTCGAAATATACCATACTTCAATTACAATGCAAGCTGTGATAATAAGAAAAGCGACAAATGCCAAGTGCAACATCATGTAAGACGAGTATCAGTGAAATAATGACAACAAATGTGGTATATAACTGTAAAAAACAGGCTTTTTATATGGAAATCTAAAGTTTCATTTTCGAAAATTGGTATGTGCCCTTGATGTGAGCTTATCTTGAAAGCAATTAGCGAATGATTACAGAGATGTGGTCTGATTTAATCTTGTCGTTGCACAAATCGTATGAATCTTAATGTTACTTCTTGAAAATTACTTTTATGAATGATGTTCCTTATTACTGGACGCAGCAATGTCTTAAAAAATGTTTGCAACAGTACTAAAAATACCAGAGTATCGTTATTATTACTTACTAATGCAGTGTTGCATCTTTTGAGTATTGATGTGGTGAATTTTTTCGTGGAAGGCGAAAAGGCTTCATGCTGAAAATTACTATGGTATACTATTTTTCGATCACTTATCGGACTATTTGTGCCAATTAAGTCAGCTTCTCAAATGATCCGCGCACAAATACACTATCTTTCGACGAAAGGAAAAGAGCAATTTAAGTGATGGCAAGTGAATGCATACCAAAGATGGACGGCGAGGTTTAGACTTTTGAACTTTCAAAGTTTAAGTTAAACTGGTAAATTTCGTAGGTGATGGAATAGGGAAGCTGAGGGTTCACATCCGTTCCTCGACTTTTGGATGTGGCTGTAGGTAGGTTTGGTGATGTGAGGGTGTGAGTATCGACGAGAAAACAGGTATATTCTCACCCACATAGACTCCCAACAGCCAAGCAACTCTAAGAAAATCATATCAATGTTGTAGTAAATGATGAACGTCTTCCACACGCAACTACAACCTGATTTATTACCGTTCAAACACAAATGTCGTCAACATCGACAAAAAAAATCAAATTCCCTACTATCATATTTTTTTTTCCTAATCGTTTGACTCATATGTTTGATGTGGGCGTTGGAAGTCCGTGTGAGTATGTGGATAACAACATGCCTGTTTTTTTTCACTAACATTTATACGGTCACACGTCACACTCACAGCCAAACTCAAAAGTCCGACCAACCGATTACAGATTCGGATTCCTCGATCCGGATGACCATTGGTTAAACTTCATCAATTACACCAATACATGTGGATATGTGACTTTCTACATGCATGCAAGCATGCAAACTTATTTCATTTCATATGACCCTTCCTTCAGTCAAGAAAATACAACGAAATACAATCGTATACCATTGTACACGACTCTCATAATGCTGATCCCAGGGCTTGATGACTGATGAATTCAAGTGAATAAATTTATTGGTATTAAAAAGCAATACGATGAAAAAATGCATCAAAGCTAATCCATGAATATTTATTTAAACGACTATCGAGAAATTTTTTGTAGTACTTAGTCATATATTTGTCAACATTCGTTATACTTTATCAGTTATATCAACAATAAATAAACATTTTATATAAGAAAAAATTGAACTCCTTGTAAAGTAAAAAAAGAAACAAAAACATTTGAATTTTGTTTACAACATATGATAAGACTTTTTTCTTGTTTGATAAAATGAGACATTACAAGTTTATAGCTTAATGAATATGAGCCGTTTCATGACCATAAATTTTGTCAACAGAAGGTAAATTATTTTAAAGTAACGATGTACCAAATGACGATATTACCCCATGTAACGTCCAACTTGATTTCGAACCATCTAAATTAAATAAAAGCTTTTTTTTCTTTTATATTCAAAGATAAATCAATTCTTACGATCAATATATATAACGTACAATAAATTTCAATAGTTCATCTAATAATATAACTGATTGAAAAATTTTAATTACAGCCAACCATTCTTCTAATGAAAGTGGACAAATTTGAAATACAGTCTAAGAATATAAAACGATTAAGTTAGCAGTTCTATGAAACAAGAAAGTTTTTACATTAAACATAGGAATATAAAGAATCATCATATGTAATGATATTGATAAAGTAATAGCATATAAAAGATATTTATTCTTCCATGGTGACATTTTAAGTAGAGATTGGTTTTTAGATAAACTAAAAGAATAAAAAAAAAGCTCATTTTCATTTCGAAAGTATTGACTTAAATAATGAACCTGTTAAGTACATTTAACATTTCAATAATAACAAGTACTGATAGAGCCATTGTCTCATTGGATGTGGATCATCAAAAACAGAACAATCTATAGTTTTCCATTCTTTACCACCGGCATGACATTTAAAATGATTTTGCTACAAGAAAAAAAAGATTTCGAAGGTTTATATTTTTTATAATCTAAAAGAGAAAACAAAAACTAATCATCAAACACGTGCTATTAGAAAAGCATATAAATATCGTTTATATTTTAAATCTATTCCCCATCAATTAGAAAATGATCTTTCTTCTTTTCAAAGTTATGAAAAAAGCATACATTCATGCTTATTCCATCTTACCAAATGTTACTTTATTCGATAAAAAATTCTTTTATTTTTCTTCGGATAAAAGAAATATATCATAAAACGAAGTCAAACAAAATACATACCAAATGCCAATAGAAAAGTTTTGGACCATTCGATGCATGCATTGACTACTATGTTGCACTCCATACAACAGCAAAACCGGCATAACCTATTAAGATATGAGTAAAGATATAAAATTAAAATTTTTCCAAAGTTAAACATACTTTCAATAGCTAAATATTGAAAGAAGAGTCATGGTGTAATTAATGATTCTTTTGGTCTACATGGCGGACGTTCCATAATATCATAATCAGATGGATTAAAACCAAGTGCTGTTGCTGGTAAACCAACAGTTACCAAATTAACCCAAAGTAATTGAACAGGAATTAACGATTCGGGTAAACCAAGAGCAGCAGTCAAAAAAATACAAACTATCTAAATCAATGGAATGATTTTTTTTTTGTTTGATTCATTTTCAACTATGAATTTTACTTCTCCAATATATTTGATGAAATCAAATAACGAATAAATTGTTTTGTATTGTTATAAATAGCTCGATCTTCTTCAACAGCAGCAACAATCGAAGAGAAATTATCATCAGCTAAAACTATATCAACTGTTGTTTTAGCTACAGCTTTACCTGAGCCCATTGCAATACCAATTTCAGCTTTTTTCAATCCAGGTGCATCATTAACACTCACCTGTCATAGCTGTAAATTCCACCATGAGATTGTAAATACTGAACAATTTTCAATTTATGTGTGGGCTCAACGGGAGCAAATATTATAGCATGACGACTGTTACGATCGGATTGTTCCCATCCGTTCGTAAGACGGAGAGAAGATACCCTTTCTAGTACAGTGGTTAATACGACTGCCCGGTAAGCAGGAGATACATGGTTCGATTCCATGTGAAGAGGGATTGTCTTTTTCTCCGTTCTGTTGTATTCCATCGCGCTGCTTAGTCTCGGTCATGAGTCATAACATCAAACTCATAACAACGACAAGTTTCAGATTGCTCTTCTATTCAAAGATCATCGAATTCTCGGCCACTAAAGACTTTGCCTACCAAGGAAAATCCGAATATAAATATTAAATTTGCTGATAGGGCTTCCAACATTTGGTTTTATGCAAAACTAGTTTTCTACAAAATTGGACATTGGAATATCTATCATTGCAGTTCATAATCATATTTGGAGTCAACATGCTTGATAACCTATTATCCAGTGGTTATTAAATCCAAAGCAATTTTTAAATAAGAAAGCTTTCCACATTAGGACAATCGAAAACTAGTGGCAGTGTTACTTTAATACCGTGCAGCAAGCTTAAGGAAACATATTCTCTCTATGTAATAGCTGTAAAACCTATGCTCTTTATTTCATCTTTCTTCAACTAATATCATAGTAATAAAATTTCGATAGAAGTTGTTCGTTATCGTAGCAAAAGAATCACCTCTTTTCAACTGTGAAAATAACAACTCACTATCTTGTTTCTATTCCATATTACTCAAGATATATCCATCTGCCCTTTTTTTTCCTTTCAGATGGATATTAATCCTATTGTCACACACCATAACCAGCAATTCTTGTTGAAATTTTATTACTAAGCTATTAGCTGAAGAATTTTGCATTCTCCTATGAGTATATAAATTCTACTTATCTTACCTTGCGTATCTTCTGATTCTTCAAAGATACCAATACATTGACAAGCAGCGTTAGCTGTATCCTTATTATAACCAGTAATCATAATAACACGAATACCAGCATCACGACATCGAGCAATAGCGTCAATAACTTTAGTACGTGGTGGATCTAGCATACCAACAAATGTAATATCACTCTAAAATAATAAAGGCTTTCCTTTTTCAACATTGCCCTTAAATGTAAAACTTTCTTATTTCATAATTAATAAATTTTCTTGAATCTTCTAAATCCATATCTTTGTGTTTTAATGGATTATCAATTGTGCCTAATGTTAAACAACATAAAGTATCTCTTTCAGTTCCATATTGATAGATCAATCCCATTATTTCTTCTTTAATTTGTGAAATCATCGGAATTTTTTGTGTTCCAACTCGAATATGTGTACATCGTTCAACTACGGATTCTGGAGCACCTTTAACAAATATTTTAGATTCTTGTTGACTATTACTAGTAACTCTTCCAGCAGTTACAACATATCCTGACATTGATTTTCGATCACGTGAAAATTCTAATGTAAATTCTTTACGATATTTGTGACGAATAATTGTATTTGATGACATGGCTATTTCTTGTGGTGATAAACGTGGTTTATTAGTATTAAGAGAGGGTCCGCGAGAAGACCACCCTACTCTCCATAGAGGTCGCCGGGAAAAAAGTTTTTTTTTTCGATTTTATTTTCTTAAATGATAGGTCTAGGCAAACTATAGTTAAACCCAAAATATTAGGTCATTTGGTTTTACCTATGAAAAATGCGAGCTAAAACAAGCTTAACGGGGTCAAAATTGACCCTAAAAAGTCGCTAAAAATAGGTGTGCTCAGTATTTTGACATTTTCTCATGAATGGTTTGATCATTTGAGATCGGGCACCTCTCATTAGATAGGAAACAGTATAGGCTACAAATTTATTCAATTTTGATGATTCATATCTGGGATAAAAGAAACGCTATAGATCAAAAACCTTCCAAACCTCAAGAAATCCTATACTCTGGAATAGCAGTATTTTGGGCTTTTCTTGAGTAGTGCAAGCGGTGCCAAACTTCTTTTTTTACCAAACATAGATCTTTTCAAGATACATCTTTTGACATTAAATTGTCAAGACAAAAAAACTGGGGAGGGTGGCAAATTAGCATGGATCACACTGTGCCCTACCCTACCTAGTCACCATTGATCCTACCCCACAAAGTCATACAACTTCTACAGAAATCACGAAAATAGACTTCAAATTCGTGTTCAACTTGAAAAACTGACTTAGATAGGATATTTTAAATTGATTCCTTACTTGTACCAAGCGTGTTCAAGATCATGGGTCCACCTCATGGATATATGATAGATATATACCACGGTGTTTTGATAATAATTCACCAATATTAATAGCTATCGAGTTCGGGCATTTAGCATTCGATAGCTATCTTTGAAAGCTACAAAACTACATATTTTCCAAGCTTAAAACTCTTGATCATCTGAGCCATATCGAGACACATTGGTCTTGGAGCACGATTTTCTGCATTTTTGCCCCTTGTGTAGCCCCTTTTCCGTTACAAAACAACAAATTGAATCAAAACCAATATCATATTCGGAATCAGCGTTAAAAACTGAGTCGATCCATGTATGTTTCAAAAGTTTTTGAGAAAAAAATTTTTTCTATGCTAAAATAACTCTGTACTTCCCCTCAGGTTTCATGAAAAAAATGATTTCCCTCAAAAATCCCATTTATCGTGTGGAATGGAATAGCCGAGCTTCTGTAATCTCAACAAAAGTAAAATGGCGAAATACTAAATGACAAGAACGTGATTTTGAGGGAAATCATTTTTTCATGAAACCTGAGGGGAGTACAGGGTTAAGTAATTCAATTAAAAATGGTCACAAACTTTTTTTTATATCAGATTGTAATCAAGGAGAAAATGCTAGAGATTTTTCTTAATTAAACAAGCGAGAGTAAATAGTTGAAGTTTTTTAATTTTCTGTCAGGTTTTAATTTAAAAGAATCCGTTTAATCAAAAGTTTTACAAAAAAACAAAAATTTAATAATAGGAAAAATCGGAAACACTACTTTTTAGAATTATTATTGTAGACTTCATTCTCTAAATATTCGAGCAGTCTTCGTTTAACAATGAAGTTCTGTATACTGACACTAATTATTAAAAAAAATAAAATTGAGACAGGAGATGTTCAAAGCCAGATCTTTTTGGCAAAGTGTATTGGTAAACTTGTTTAATTAAATTTATATTTTGTATTTAAAATTCATAAAGGACACCAAAATAAGCAATTTTTAGCCTACCTCCGCTACCATATGCTCTTGTAATAGACAAGCGGAATTAATAAGTACTGCTCTGCAGAACAGGAAAGGGGAAAACCTGCCTTTCAACGATCTCTGATCAATAACGAACTGCGATGAAAATTCCTTCTATTATATAGGACAAATTAAGTCAATTTCATGTCCGTTATTCAATGACATAAAAAGTTTTTTTTTCTTAATCTTTTTTTATATTACAAATCACCGGTATCGATTTGCATTCTATTATGCTCGAAAGCGGATTAAATGTTTTAACATTGATGTACATATACAGAAACTTGTTGGTAAATGTTAAAACAATTATTGCCGTATTTGTCGACTTACGTATCCTGTGAATTTTTTTATTTAATGTTCATGCGTAACTTTACGCTTTTGTAACAAGGTGCTTTCGTTTTATTCGTTGTATTAGAAAACGTTAATAAAATAATGCTATACTTTATCTAATAGAATTCATACTGTCTTCAAAAGTATACCAAATTAAAAAATGATACTATCTTATATATGTACAAAAAATCGCACCCCCCTTTCAAAATCCTAGATCCGCGCTGATTACTTATCTGATATAAATTAGTTAGATGATTTTAAATCTTCACTTTTAAATAAGGTTAAAACTGTTTTTTATCAACTGATTTTTCCTTAATGTTGACTCAAGAATCAGTGTAGTTAGGCACACATTGAATCTAAGAATAAATTTTCCACCATATAATTACTTCCTTGTTGCTCTAGTTCCATAGAGTTGCTCTTTGGTCAGTATATTCTAAGGTTAAGTTTTCACGAAATCACATTACACATTCGATTGTATAGAAATAATAATGTTCAGAATTCTAAGTCTTCACCATATATGTAAGAAAATACCATAACTGTTATTTGGAATAATATCATTCAGAATTTCTCCAGAGCATATTCTCAATTGTAGAGTACTTTAAATTTTCTGTGCACACATCTGGTCAACAAACCAAAAATAATTTTCGTAATATTCAAAAACTTAATCGCAGGAAAGGCCTTAGCAGAAAATTTAAAGTATTTCACAAGTAAGAATATGCTTCGAAAAAATTCTGAATGATATTATTCCAAATAACAGTTATAGTATTTTCTTACATATACGGTGAAGACTTAGAATTCTGAACATTATTATTTCTATACAATCGAATGTGTAATGTGATTTCGTGAAAACTTAACCTTAGGATATACTGACTAAAGTGCCCCATGTGATAAAAACCGGATGAAAACCGGATGAAAACCGGCGGTTAACCGCGGTTTTACCGGTCCGGTTACCGGCTCCCATCGCTGAGATTTACCGCGGTAAATCGGCGGTTTTTATGGATACCGTGGTTTACCGCTAAAATGAACCTGTTTACCGGATCGCCAATAAACTTTGACATTTCATTGCTTTAAATCATCGATTTTGCTATTTTAAACGTTTTTTTCTTCTATCTTCCCATGTCATAAAAATGCTCAGAAAAAACTCCGGTTTACCGCGGTTTTACCGGTCCGGTTACCGGCTCCCATTACTGTAATTTACCGCGGTAAACCGCCGGTTTTGATAAATACCGCGGTTTACCGCTAAAAATTGTCCGGTATTTACGATATGGAGCATCACTATCCAGTAGGAGCAAAATATAAAAGTGAAACCTGTTATGTGCAAAATGCGCGTGTTTGGACAGCATTAAATTGTCTCAATTTTTGTGAAAAAAAATCGGCCTGTTAGGTAGTGGCGCTATCTGCGACTACTACCTCTCTTCTTCTTTTCTTTTATCTCTCCATTGGTCACTCTACGTACTTATGTTTTGTTTACGTTATGTGTGACTATATATAAAGTTGTTGTTTTGTTTTGTTGAGGTAGAGTAGTTGTGAACAAGAAGATAGTAAATAAAGACAAGAAGTATTTTAGTTAGTCAACAGACTAACACGGCCGTTTTTTGGCATAGAAAAATTTGGATGCCAAAAATCTGTACGAACGGAACAAACTCAATACCAAATTATGCACACTTTTTTAAAGACCAAATTAGTATAAAAAGTGGCATGTTTGTCTGCTTGGGTAGAAGCGCTTTCGTTGGAGACTAGGGTCTATCATGATCATAAAACGTAGTATCAATTTATTTTTAACCCTTTTCTGCTGGAAAAAACCGAAAATTTGTTTTGGACTAGGGACGATTGCTCCAAGCACTCCCTAAGTACGCCACTGCTTTTTGTTGAACTTCTGGATCATTAAGTGATGAACGAACTAAAATTAACTGTTTTCCTGTTTTATGTAGCGCATTAATTAAATGCTCTGCCATGAGTATACATTTTCAACCAATAAGAAAAACTTTATTTGACTTCTATATCTGACTAATGATAAAATAACAAAAAATTTTCACACTGAATGTTCTTTTGCTGGTTGTCGTCGCATATTTACCGTTATCATACTCTTATTGAGAGCTTCAAGTGATTTCACGTATGTTACCACAGATAAGATAATAATAAAGCTTTCAAAATATATCACCAATGATGTTGAAACATAAAGAGAAAGAAACACCATCAATGTATTAATTAATGTTGCTATTGTGATCGATTTCGGACCACCGAAGATCACAAAAGTCGTAATAACATTTATCACAGAAAGTATATTAAACGTTGTTTTCGTCACTTTTAATATATTTTCTTGTTTTGTTCGCATGCGTTCGAGGTTTTTCATTAATTCAATTTTTTTATTTGATGAATATTTATGGATGCAATGTCCACAATATTGAGTATCGTTTAACCTATTCATGAGTAAATTTTCTGTATCTTTTGTCGTATTTTGATAAAGTTCATAATGTACGTCCTGGAACATTGCATCTCGAGCAGATAAGCCACAACACAAGAATAACGTCAGATACACGACGCTCATAAATATAGATGGCATATTTAAATGCGATGAGTTGATACTTTCTGTGATGCAACTCCAAGCTGGTGTCTACAATTTATAATAATGTTAATTAAAATTTACTGAAGTCTTCAGACATAACTTACTGGACTAAAAGAATATTTTCGAAAACCACTATTATTGCTAGAACTTGAACGAGTTGTTGTTGATGATGATGCACCCATTTATGTAAAAAAAAAAGATTTTTTTAAAACACGATCTAAAAGGAGTTTTCAAGTGCGTACAGGTAGAAATTTTCAGCCACACCCTCATCCATAAAACAATGTATCACCTCTGCAATACCGCAAAAGTCTCAAGTTATCTGACATACAATAAGGCTTATTAATACATAATCTCATCCTATCAATAGTTTTTCGTGGGAAAAAAAAGAGAAGAGAAGAAAATTTTAATTCTTTTGTAAATAAAATCCATTGATGAAATAATTCAATACAATTGTCTTCTGTATTAATATGACAAAAAAAGAAAAAAGAAAAAAAATTCTATTCTACAGATATATAAGTCACTGTTCAATGTTTAATTTGGTTCAAGAAAATATGTTATCATCCGACTTTTTCCTTTAACTTCTATTTCTTCTCTTAATTGAAATTTAGATTTGTCTTTTAAAGCCATTGCTACATGTTCCGAAACTTGAATATGTCCTTTTTCATCAATTGAATCCATTCTTGAAGTAACATTGACTGTATCACCCCAAATATCATAAAATAATTTTGTTGTACCAATAACACTAGCTGTAACTGATCCAAAATTTAAATCCATTCGAAGTTCAAATGTAAAATTCAAAAGTGCTTCATTAAATCGTCGCATTGTTGATTGAAATGCCCAAGCAAATTTAACAAGATCATAAACACATTCTAAAATGTTTATTTAAAAAAGTTTTTTTCTCAATAAAATAAAAAATTTTACCAAGTGGTTTTTGATCATTCGAATCTGTTTGTATGCCAGATGCCGCCATAAATGTTGATCCAATAGTTTTAATTTTTTCAATTTTTAAAAATCTTCGATCAAGAAATAATTCTTCAATATCTCCATAAAATTCATTTAAAATTCTTGAATAAAATTTTTCACCTTCATATTGTTCTTCATACAAAACATGAAAATTAATTAATGATGCAAAAAGAACACCAACACATGGATGATTACGAGAATATGAACCACCTAATTGACATAATACTTCTATAACATGTTCAGGTAAAATATTTCTTAAAAGCCAATCAACACGATCACATTTTTTTTCTACCTCAATTCTTTGTTCAGACGACTTATGAACAATATGATCTTGAGAACGACGAGCTACTTCTACTTGACGGCTTATTCCATATAAAACTATTAATGAAATTAATATACAAACACTTATATCGACAATTATTGGTTCTAAAAGAAAAAAAAAAACAATTAAAAATTTATTAATACTTTTCTTTTGTTTGAAGCAAACTTGTAATTGCTTGTTTGAAAATAATCAAAGGAAGATAAATTGAGATAGATAAAATGGCAATAAGAATTTTGATCAAATGGGATAAAGATGCACCTAAGATAACATAAGTTGAAATAAAAAGAATAAAAACTGGTACATTCGTAGGATAATAATCACGATATTGAGTTAAAATAATAATCAAAGGAGATAAAAGATAAAAAGAAGCTATAAAATGTCTTAAAACCCACCAATTAAGAGTACGATAAAAAACGAATCAAAATCAATATTAAAATAAATTTTATACCAATGATTATTCCCATGATTATTGATGAGCGAAGTTTTATTGGAAAAACAAATATAAATGAGTAAAAGAGATAAAATTGATAAAATAACTTCGACAATTAATAATGAATGTGGACCAATATGAACGGAAAAACCTTCTTCTAATCAACTATCTTTATATTTTAATGTTTCATTAACATTTTCAAAATTTTCAATATTTTCTGCATCTTTTGGTGCTTCTTCTTCGGATACTGTTGCTCGTCGAGCTTGTACAACTTCTTCTAATAATGGACTGGTTACTACCCAAGCAGACAAACTTTTATTTGTTTTTCTTTAATCAGCAAGATTAACTTACTGCTGTTTCAGATTGATTTGGGATATTATTAGAATCATTCAAAGGGACAGAAAGTGAAACTTCTTGTGCAACAGCAGCAGCTGCAGCAGTTTCTAATGTCACTTGTGGTGGTTTTCGTGTTATTCGATGGCTTAAATGTCGTTTTCCAATAAAATAAGTTTTAATTGGAACTGAAATAAAATAAACTATATTATTTAAAAAATAATAATCCAGAAAAAAAATACCAACCATTGCTTGATGAAATATATTCTTGACCTTCTTCAAATTTAAATTCATCTTTTTTTAAGTAATGAATGAGTTGCTTCTGTAATATGAACAAATTCTAAAAAACACCACCAAATAAAATTCATGAATTAAAAATGAAAAATCAAATTTTAGCTAAGCGAGCAAAGAGCATATTCTACATTTTTAATTAATATAAGACTATAAAAAAACCTTTAAGGAAAAATAAATAAAAAAGCTTGTTAGCGCAGCCTCGCTGGGGCTGAAATGTGGAACTCACATATCACCTTTAGCTTCATTACACTAATACAAAATACAGAATGTGTAAAATCAAAATTTTTTTATTTTCTTTTTCTGACCGGCGCCCTATTTTTCGTCTTCATTGTTGCTATTCGCTCGTTATTTTTCATTTTCGTAATTCTTTTTTTATTTTTTTTTATTTCACATTTTCATTATTATTAGCATTGAATTAAATGGGAAACTAAGGCTGTTATATATATCCATTATTTAATCCTGGTTGTTCAGGCCTGTAATGGAGGACTGTGTGTAATGGGAGATGTCTGTAATCGGGGGTGTCTGTAATGGAGCCTTCGTTCTTTTTTCGTTCAACATCTTTTTCGGAATGTGACATAGATGATATTTTACAAGCATGAAAATCTGACTAATATTGTTGATGATATTTGAGAGATTAGTTGATGATGAAAATGTAGAAAAGTATATGGTACAACTCAAAATTAGAAAAATCAATGTTCATTTGAGTAGCTACATGTATAAAGAATAGTTTTGCGAACCTGGAACTAGAAAAATCAAGAAACTTATGAGAATGATGGAATGAACATAAAAATTGATGTTTTTTTCAGATTCATTGATTAAAAATGAAACTTTCATTAATATAATTCCATAATTTTAAAAACCAAATTTATTACATTTGCTTTATTAAAATGTTCCTTTTAATTAACGGACCTCAAATACATCAATTTTCATGTCCATTTCACCAGTCAAACTGTCTCTTTTTTCGTGTTTTTGATATAAAATTCCCGAAAGTCATGAAATTTTTTGGATTTGTACGCCCATGGAAACACTTCTATTTCTCTTAAATATTTTTGTAAACGGTTTAATTTGGTTATCATCTTACTTCTATTCTTTTCTTTATGTATAACTTTAGAAAAGATGTTGACAATATTTGATATACAAAATTTGTCGCAGGTTGACAGGTTACGACATACATAACCTGCAACCTGCCCTGTCAAATTTTTCGTAACCTTACCCTGCCCTGCCTTGCCAGGCCAGAGCAGGGTAGGTTATCTATAACCTACAGGGCTCTACTTTTCTTGCGTGACTGCTGCGCGTAAGTGGCGAGCATTGTTTATCTTTCCTATATAAGTGTATGTTCTATGTACAAACAGGACAGCTTGTTGTGTGAAGAAGTCAAATAAAGCGAAAGTCACTATCCTACAGGCACTTCTCTCCTCAAGTTCATTGCAAGCATAAGTATACTATATTTTATTTATTTGAATTAAATTGTCTCACATTATGCTGGGCATATTTGATACAAGTTCCACATTAAAATCACATTCGAAGAGGAAAACATCGAAGTCTTTAACATTCATCATCATCTAGTACCCTCTTTGCCATTATTGTCTTTCGAGAAATATGATAATCATATCTGATAATGGACAAACGTCGCCTTAAATGACGCTTACTGTGTTTGTTCTTTTTACAATTTTCGTTCTGTCATACATAGTACGTGGACAGAGCAAAGGAGGTAGAGGGAAATAATGAATGAATAGCAAATAATGCATTATGTATTTTTTACTTGCGACAAAAAATCGTTCTCATAGATCTAATTCGTAAAACTTACACTTGGATCAAACGAAAGAACAACACCATAATGCATGTATTTACTATTTTAAGACAGAAGAATTCTTCACATCTATTTTAAAAAACAGAAGTTCAAATTAGTGTCGCTAAAAGAATTGATTTTGATATTCATTCGGTGAATCATCCGACTCTGATCCTGTACTAACAAATTTGTTTTTTTTTAGATTAAAGATTTCGAATTTGAAATTTTATTATTTGATATTGAACAAAAAAATATTTCAACATGTTCATGAACGTTCTTATCAAAATAAAAATAAAGGAATACCTATAAATGTTGTTAAAAATGGCCTTTCACATGTGGTCAATCGACCTGAAATATTTTCTAATGCAGGTTTCAATAGAAATACTAGCCATTGTACTGTTCGAACTTCATTCAAACCCATTCTTTCGTTTCGTTTGGTCGAGTACACATCGATTCTTACGTTCTATTTACATTCTCTGCTTTCGATATATCCCTCGCTATGAATCATATCGAGGGGTATGAATCACCAATGGATCCGAATATACAACAGCAACAGACACCACTGCAAAACCGAAAACTAATTACTTAAAGGACCACGAAGAAACGTCCTAGAAGTTATGTATCCCCGTCTGATCAACAGCAAACTGATTTACATTGCAAAATAAATTCAGGTCAACGTCAGATGACTCATCCAGCAAGTTACTCAAAAATAATATTTCCACCGATCATTGTTAAATTTAAAGGCGACCAGCCAGCATCAATCAAAGAAATTACTGATGATTTAACCTCAAAATGGAAAAATCAACATGGAATTGATTTAACAATAACAGCACGTTTTGGTCATATGCATTCTCTTCTTGTTTTTGCTGATGACTCACCAACGTTTGAATCTTTTTTTAGAGTCAAACCGATGGCCAAGAACATTGAAAGAAGTAGATATTGAGGTAAACGTTCCACGTCAATTTCCACCTGCATATTCACTTATTATTCAACAATTTCATCGCAATTGGAATGAAGATGAATGGCTAATTGAATTACAACAACGGTACGTCTCTTTATATAAAATTGCAAGAATGCGAGTGATAGATGGATCATCATTAAATGCAGTTAGAGCCGATTTCAAATCTATCAAAGAAGTTAAAACACTCATTAAATCTGGAAAAATAAATATAGGTGGTATGATTCATCCAGTAAAACCGTACCATCTACCAATACGGATTAATAAATGTTTAAAATGCTTACGACATGATCACACAACAAAAAGCTGCTCTCTACGTCGTTTGTGTCCAAGATGTGCAGAAGAACATTCACTTGAACATGGTTGTCCCAATCATGAAAGGTGTATCAATTGTGGCGGTGACCACATATTCGGTCATTCAGTATGTCCAGTAGTACAAGAAAAACGTCGTGCACTTATAGAGCAGGCAAATATACAAAGAGCAGAACTATTGGTACGTGCTGAACAACAACAACAATATGCGTTTCAAGGAAGTGATTATCCTGCATTACGAAATGGCAACCAACTCCATTCATCTTGCCACATACCACGCCAATCTATGAATCGTCTCAAAGATCATATGCTCAGGTAATCCTAAATCAACATGAACAACAACCACACAAAAATATTGAATACACCTTATCTTCCTTCTTGAATAAAATGGAACTTCGGTTAGACGAATTCTCTTCTCGTCTGTCATCACAACTATGTGATATCGAAAAGAAAATAAACGTCTGTACTGATCATCAATTTGAAATGGGAAACATTATCAATGAATTAATTCTTCCATCAATTCAAGAGTGAGGGCGCATAGTAGCACAATCATCCAAAAATCGCAATATACAAGAAGATTTTAAAAAATTTAGTATCAAAATCAATGAAATATTGGTGAACCATAAACATCAATTGAATTATCGCAACCTGCAATTAGCATCTGATCGCAATGGCAATCCAACAACAAATGTCTCTCACTAATAACTCAATGTTACCGCAGTTCAATAGCTACAAATTCATCGAATTAACTGACAAGCTATTACCTCTTTTATACGAACTCTCGGATCATCAAAAACAAATTGGAATTGAAACGTTACAACAATGGTGCTGGACATGAAATATTCAAGATCTGTCGAATTGGTGGCAACAACAATATCATGAACCTAAAATAACATCAAGTTGGCTTTCAATGTTACATTATAATGTTCGTTATTTTTATTCAAATCAAGCTGATCTCATTGACATGGTGAATGTTTATTATCCATCAATAATCTCTCTCAATGAACTTGGTACAGTCATTCCGGATAAAATAATTAAGCAGCTTCTCTTCTCGTATAACGTGTATACAAAACAAGGTACAAATCCTCATGGTGGTGTTGTCCTTGCCATAGACAAGAGATTGAAATGCGAATTAATGGATGTAAATGAACCAAATACCATTGCTGCTCTAGTCACAATTGAACGTCAACAATTCATTGTTGCAAGCATTTACTCACCACCCACAGAACAACTTCCATTAACTACAATGTCTACCTTACTTAAAGAATCGAAAAACATTATCATCATAGGTGATCTAAATGCCAAGCATCCGGATTGGGGGTGTCCGCAAGTGAGTACAAAAGGACGCGACTTAGCCAACTGGCTCATCAAACACAAGTTGAACGTCCTCAATCCTGGTATCAAAACATCTCTACGGTCAGATACAACTATCGATCTCATTATATCTAGTGAAGGTCCTGAAACATCAGAAAGTCAATCTTTAGTATATACAAGCAGTGATCATCTACCTATATTAACAAAATTTTTTCGTCTCAATGCATTAGACAACAAGCTCTTTGCACCGTGCACGTATTGGAAATTATATTCAAATATTCTCAATGTTCTATATGATCAGCTGCAAGATGAACAACAAAATGCGATGAATGATTCTAACAATACATACAATTGGTTCCTTAATTTTCAACAATTTCTTGCTGCTCTTAAGATTCGCGTAACAGTGTGGCAGGAAGTCAAGCGAAAAAGACCATCCATCCCATTATCACTACGAATTCTACTTCATCACAAGCACTATCTTCAAAACCGATTTCGACATAAAAAGCAAGAAGAAGATCGATTAAGATTGCAGTCATGGAATATATTGATCAAACAAGAACTTCGGGCCCATCGACAAAGGAGCTAGGAATAATTTATATAGAGCGTTACTTCACCAAATCCAACTGTATTCTGGAGTACGGTGAAAAAGCTGAACAAAAAGAAATCCGTCGAATTTTCTGCTATTACCGAAGAAAGTACAATACATAGATCACCGGAAGACATCGTCAAGAACCTAGCTCAACATTTTGCCGAACGTCATGTTCAAGCAGAACTGAACATGGCAAATACACTTGACAGAGAAGCTAACGAATTATGGCAACTTTACAATACAGCAGATAAAAATGACATTAGGTTAATATCCAAGCAGTCAGATCTTCAATTTAATGAACAAGATATTAAAAATACTATTCGATCCTTGAAAAATAAAAACTCATCCGGATTTGATCAAATGTCAAACAAAATGATAAAAGAACTACCAGCTCACTTCCACGTCATGCTTACACACGCATATAATGATCTTTTCCGTTCAGCTCATTGGGGTAGCGAATGGAAAGTAGCACGTGCAATATGTCTTAATAAAAGTGACAATCCCGTACCAACTACAAATCAGTTGCGCCCGATTTCTATGTTACCAGTATTTAGTAAAATCTATGAAAAGCTATTCCTTCTCAGATTTAATAGATGGTCAACAAGCATGAACATTTTACCTGCTCAACAATCCAGCGCAAGGCCGTATCAGGCCACAACATCATGGGTTAACTGTCTACTAGAACAAATTACTCAATCTCTGCGTTACAATACATTTACTCCTGTGATATACATTGACTTCATGCAAGCATTTGATAAATTATGGCCGCAGGGACTGGTCCTAAAATTGAATAAACTTAACTGTCTATCTGCCTATCTAGTGTGAATTGTGAATTATTTCACATATCGTTCTCTAAAAATTGACTATGGTGGTATAGAGTCAGTATTGATCAACGTCGAACGTGGTGCTCCTCAAGGCAGTTGTCTTGGCCCAGTTATGTATGTAATTAGTCATCATGATCTACCTCAACTTTTTGCTAATCCGATGAATGTTCATGCCTATGTCGACGATATAGCAATCGTATATGCTCCATCGATGAATCTAAAATTTAAACACCAAGTTATTGAAATTGAGAAGAACATTAACAATGATATGCGAAATTTACTGAACTATGCGAACGACTGGCATCAACCATTAAATCCGAAGAAACCTGAAATTGTCAATTATCATAGGGCAGTGCAAAGTCCCAAGTTAGATATTTACTATGATGGTGTAAAAATAATACAGAAGAAATCGTTCAAATATCTCGGATTTTATCTTGACGTTAAGCTGTCATTCCGCATAATGATAGATGCTCAATTTATTAAGTTAAGAAAAGCGTGCACGATATTAAAATTTATTCATCGACAATTCCCATCATTTCTAAAATTAATAATTAAATTTTTCAACTCGTATGTCTGGCCCCACCTATACATGTTATCAACGATCTATTGTCTATTCTCAAGTACATCTCGTGATCGAGTAGCAGCTTTTTATCGAAGATGCCTGAGATTGATTGATTGCCTATTTCAATGTCCAATAGATGATCTAAATGACCACTTCAAGCTACCTACAATCGAACAGCGATTCAAAAAATGTTTATTGAAACGAATGAAATGCATCCAACAATATGAACCAATACTCATCGATTCTGTATTACAAAATAAACATCTATTTAACATGCTTCATAATCATTATCGAATTAAAGCTTACTTACGGAATATGCCAGCTGATCGACCAAACAACCAACTTTCAGCGTTTCTTGATACGGACAGCTCTACCTTTTTTGATCAACTATGGCAATTTGTTTCTAGCTAAGTCATTCACTCACTACTACTATACCCACTTTATTTCTAACATTCATTCATTTATATTCTTATATTGTTATAGTGTTATATTGCTAGTGTCTGTGTAAAGAGTCCTTCGGGACTAATCGCACAGTTTGTGATAAGACAGTCAGCGCCTCAAGGCGAATACGTCATAAAATAAATATAGCGATTATCAAAAATAAAAGAAATTGTTATATGGTATTGTCAACATTAATCTGCTTGGTGATTTGTTGTTGCATAATATCCGCTATATATATAGTGGCTGTCAAAATTGTGCGACCACCCCTTATAGTGTACTTTTGTTGCCTAGTTTTTCGATGATGACAGCAGATAGAAACTTTTAGTTTTCACCACATTAGTCTTTAATGCTTAGGGTATATATATACAGAAACTCAAGCTACCATCTCAATCTGTCAGGTACTTATGGCTGAGAGAAGTGAAATCCTATATACTTTCCATCCGTCAAAATTGTGCGACCACTTCCTTTAATCATCTTCTATAAGTTTATTTCAACTTCAAAGCCACATCAAAACACACTATTTGATAGAGAAAATTCTTCTCTACAAGATAGACTACTTTTCATGCCACTATGCTTGACAAAATGACTCATTAAGGATTGTTTTCTGTTGAAGCTGTAAGCGAATTTGAATTCTGACTGGGTCATTATAAAGAGCACACCAAACTGCACCAGAAAGACTTTTTGCATCGTTCAGAATCAGAGAGAAACTGGGATAGCGGTTACTACATACACATCGTCGGGTTGTGGTAATCTGTGTTTTGTCCGGTATTTTGATAGTAGAATGGATTAGATGATGCAAGAAAATTATGTTTACAGTGTGGATTTATGGAGAATTTTATACTCTACAATATTAGAATGTTCAGAAAGATCAGTGCTCAAAAATAGAAGCGATCAAATCCCACCATTTGTCTAAGAACTACAAGAGTTAGTGATGTGTGTGTACTATGGAGACAAATAACTCTCATTTTCACGAAATACAAAACCAACTTCTTCGGCAACGTAGAACATTAACAATAGAGATCATCTTCTAAGCATAAGGCCTAGAAAATATTCCATGGCAGACCATTTTTGATGAAATTCAGGATCATCTTGTTTCATAGTGCTGACACAGCAGTAATCTTTATAACTTTTAGACAAATGGTAGGATTTGATCGCTTCTATTTTTGAGCACTGATCTTTCTGAACATTCTAATATTGTAGAGTATAAAATTCTCCATAAATCCACGCTGTAAACATAATTTTCTTGCATCATCTGATCCATTCTACTATCAAAATACCGGACAAAACACAGATTACTACAACCCGACAAGGTGTATATAGTAACCGCTATCCCAGTTTCTCTCTGATTCTGAACGATGCGAATTGTCTTTCTGGCGCAGTTTGGTGTGCTCTTTATAATGACCCA